AGAGCTTGGGATTCATTTCATGCAACTTTAGCCACCTGGAAGCAATTTTATAAATTTGAGCTAATAATCTAAGCAACTTCCATAGTCAGTGGAGGGAGAGAAGAAGCTTCTGTTGGAGCGCACATCATCCCTAATGTCTTACCCCCCCAGTGCAGAGCGGGATAACTGCTTTCAGGAGGTGCCTGGTTTGTCCTTTTGACTATAGAGAAAACCTGTACAATCAGGGGACTAACCTTAAAGGATACGAATCCTATACCTAAAGTATTTAGTATGGATTTTAACCCTCTCCTCTCTACTCTCCCTCAATGCACGCCCAAATCCCAGTAGTGAAATGAAGCAGGGTTAAGGTAGCTGTATTGCTGTGAAATGTGCTGGTGTGGAGCAGATGCTGCTGTACGTGCTTCTTGGGCTCTTCTGATTTGGGCAAGAAGTGCCATACAAGAAAGGAGGAACAACGAGCAGGCAGCTGCCCTCTCCCGCTGCACAAAGCAGTGATGAGAATAAATGTAGAGTTTGAAACAAAAAACTCCCATTGATTCACATTTTCCAGCTAGATATAAGCATTTATTATTCCAAGCAGGGAAAAAAAGTACTATCCCAGACCATTTGCCTGTCCTGGTTCATCAGGGGTTTCATGAAACATTTGTGCTGGCAGAACAGAGGGATGATGCTGCTGCAAGATAAGGGAGCGAACTGGAAAGGCTGCACGGGGAGTGCTTAAGCCTGCCCAGCTCTCTGTGGCTTCGTCAAATGCTGAATCCAGCCCTTCGACTTTGAGGACAGGCAGACATACACCCCATGGTCATAGGTATGTGGGCAGTATGATCGTTATGATCCAGCTACATAGCTAGCTCTTTTACATATCTTTTTCTTCTGCTACTGCAGCTCCTGTTGTACTGTCTGTGATTTTGCTTCTGTCATTCACCCATACTATGTGTTTTTTATCTTTTCACCAGCCTTCATGTTTTACATGCAAAGTGTTTTCTCTGGATTAGCCAGTGCATTACTCCTTTCAAACAATTTAATAGGAGGGATTAGCCTCTTAGCATATTTAGTTGTTGTCTTAAGCCTGTAAATGATACTGCTATTAAGAAAGAGTTTCTGAGCTGCAGCCTCTTTGCAGGGTTTCCTACCTGAAGGCTTGCTGATCTCATTTTTCTGCTCCTCCCACAGGGCTCTCTTATGGAAGACAATGTCTGAGGGTCACTGTTTTGAGTATCAGGGAGTCTTCCCAGGTACACACATGAAGGGCAGCCCAAACCAAGCAAGGGGAAACTTCTGCCTCTGCCTGATAGACGCTGCACGGTGCTGCTGCTATGTCGAGTCCCGTCCAAAACCACTCCCCTACTGCCAGTGTCTAGGGGGACCCAGATCCACTGCACTGTATGCTGCCAATACACCTATAAACAGAACCAAAACCCCCTCTCCAAAGACTTTTCCTCATAGATTATGTTACAGGCACTGCACTAAGAATTTTGCACTCCAAAAAAGCAGCATGATAGCTTAAAAAAAGTGCTTAAAAAAAAAAAAAAAAAAAAAGATACTGAGGGTAAGGTTTATTGCCCTTCACATGTGTAAATCTTTGTTTCCAGTTTTCAAATTTTTCTCTGGACTCATAAGGGTTGTTATTTTAAATGCAAGTCATAGTCATTAATTTCACCCACGTCCCTGCACATAAGCAATGGAGCGAGCTAGTGGCCCCTGAAGGGTGACCACAGGGAGATTTGGGAGCCTGGAGTGATGTTTGGGGGCAGTTACCTGGGGTCAGCCAGGAGGAAACACGAGGCATACGGACCTAAGCGGAATGCATACCGTCCTATTGAGCCTCCTGACTCTAGGGGGGGCTGACATGTTTTAAATCAAACGCTGTGATTCGTGGTAAGCACACAAGGCCAAGCGATGGCTAGCAAGGAGAACAACTCTTTCTGTATTTCATTTGTTTCCTAGTCTCAAAAATAAGTTAATAATTGCAAGCTCTCACCAGGTTAAGTACATCAAAGCCTGAGGGAGCAGCAATACTGTGGTAATAGGGTCATAGAAGCAGCTTTCCCAGTGCTGTGTGGTTCTGCGAGTGCATAATGTTGATACCACCTTATCACACAATAACTCAGACTCCTCTCGGGTTTGTGAGCAGTGCTCTTTGGCAGTGTTTGCTACGGGCCTGGGGCACAAGCTAGCCCATCTATCTTGAACAAGTTGTGACAGAGGTTAGCTTCTCCAGATTGAAAGCATATTTTCAAAACCCAACATGTTTCAAACTATATTAAGAAACATTTCTTCCATGTAGTGGAAAAAACTCATAGGTTGTTTTTCCTTTTAGTTAGTTTTCTGTGAATTTGGGACAATTTGTATTGGTTTGGGAGGTTTTTTTGGTTTATAAATTTTCAGCAGAGCAATAGGATTTGGAATTATACCTATCTGGTAGGGCATGTCTGCATGGCATGTCAAATGTGTGATCATGGATAATAAAAATGCTTCTCCTTGCTTGCTGGAAATTAGCTCACTTATTTTCTGCTATACACGTAACGCGAGTAGCACAGACTTGAGTGTGTGTTAGTGGGCCAGAGGTACACCTATAGTGCACCTGTACTCATAAATAAAGTGGGCCAATGTTAATGCTCCCTCTTTAAGGGCAAGCAGCACAACATAGCAGATGACACCAAGCTTTGTGGGCCTTGGGAGTGGTACTGGGGAAAGGGGCTGAGGTGTATCCAGAGCATGTGATAGCCACAGTACCTGGGCTGACTCTTCTCCCTTTGCAACAAGTGCTGATGAGGGGAAAAGAAATGAGCCATTAGTGTCCTGCACCCTCTTCCAGTACATCCACCTGCAAATCCACAAAACTTGCAGCCCTTCTTGGCAGCAGAATAACCAGTCAGAACGAAACCAGGCAATTGCAAGTTCAATTATTTCCCTAGTGTTGTCTTTTATTGCCAGGTTTCCCTGTAAAGGTGTGTCATTTTTACCTACCTTTAAAAGAAAGACGTTTTGCTGGGACAACGTTCGTGCCAGCCACCTGTGTTACAAAGCTGTCATTGACTCCAGCAGTTGCCTGTATTAAGTGCACACCTCAGCTTTCAAAAACACAGATTTGCTTCTTAACGTTTTACTACGTAACCACTGGTAAGAACAGTCATCTTCCTTAACTAACATGGCTGAGAACAACATACCTATCTGGATGTCTGTGTTCAAGACAAAGACACAGGATGTTTCACTTCCAGCCACCTACAACGGCAATGACTTTGTACAAGATGGAGCGAGGTAGCGAGAGTAAGGTCCGAGGAAGATAGGAGCTGTGACCTTTCTCTGCTTTCCTGGGTGGGTATATGTGGAGTTTCATACATTGAATGAATTTCTGAGTTATTTTTAGGACATGGCTTATTTTCGTGTTCAGTCTGAGGTTAAGTAGAATGTGAAACTGAATTAACAATGTTTGCCACCAGCAATTTTATTCTAGATCTCGATTTTACAGTCAACATTTTATATCGCAACAGAAGAGGTACAAAAGTGAGCATGAAGACAAACTCTTGACCTATAGTCAGAAATAACCTATTTGAAAGTATTGGTATGTGTCTGCGTTAATGCATCTAAGTAGTTACATAACAGAGTGCAAATAAAAATACATTTCACTTAAAGTAAACATTATGGGCGAGGTCTTGGGTGTGGTCCAGCTCAGTGCAGGCCTGCGTGTTACAGAGCAAAGGTTTATCTAGAGATGCTCGAAGTTACACCAGCTTGTGTAGTTCCATAAGGATGCTTCGCACTCTGGGTAGTCACTAAAACACACGGCATTATAACCTTCTGCCTGTGGGATCATGGAAACCTCAGTCCGCCTAATGAATTGGCAATTGCTGGTTACGCTGGTGCTGCAACACCTAAGAGTATATCTGTAGCAAAGCCTGCTCTGTTCTCTTAGCGTCAATGGCCCTGCACAAGGGCACTACAGCCAAGGCCACAAGCTGGCCTCGGATCTTTATTTTGTTATAAACACTGCGCTTGAATACACATATGAGACCGGCAAAATGGAAATCAAAGGAAATCAATGAAACCTGCTGTTTCAGTGTACTATGGCATGTCCGTGCCTGTGAATTATACACTGCAAGGCATCACCTTTCACCTCAGAAACAGAGGTCAACAGACATTCCTTATTGTGGCAACCTTTTGATGTTTGTCTCTATTCCAGTGTCTGGCCAAACTGTGGCCTAAGGGACCTTTTATGAAAGTTGGAAGGCTTATCCGTACTGCTATATTGAGAATAAAATGTAATCTGAACTGCAATGGTGTTTCCAGTAGGATTTTAATGGGGTTGTCTGAGTCAATCTTGCTATTTTCTCTCCCCAGCTACACACTCGACCCGTGCTTATGGATGCTGGCAACCCTCTGAGCGGTTTCTGGTCTTTTGTTGGCTCAGCTCAGCCGTTTCCCCACCAGCGTCTTACTGTGATGCCCATTAAAAGGTAAGACCCGCTTTGCCTCTTCCATCGCTTGTTCTACCTGCTCAGACCTGCCACAGTCCCTGGGAAAAAACATGATTTATACCATGTGCCACTGTTCCCCTCTGGGGGATGTTGCACGGGGGTGCAGGGAGAGTGTAGCATGCTCAGGTAACTTCCCATCCAGCCTTCCTGCGGGGAGGAAGCCGAGCGCTGATCCGGGCAAGTTCTGCCTCCGCTGGAAAGTCTCTTTCTTCTCTGTGCACGCCCCAGGAAATCCCTGCTCTGAGCCTCTGGGCACAAGGGAGCTGTACAGGAGGGAGCAAAGCAGGGCCAAGCATCTGCCCTCAACCACCGAACATGCCCCCGGCCCCTCTGAAATAGTGGGTTTGTGTGCGTTTGTGTACAGTAATCACACCTAAAATATCATCTCCTGCTATTTGGCTGTCAGTATTACAGCAAGGATTTCTGGTTATGGACTCTGTACACACCACGCTACTATTTATCACTCTAAGCTATGTAGCCACATCTTTTCCAGCTTTACACACAAATAACGAAAGTTTTCAGTAGTGCGGAGGACTCCGTTTCATGGAGTTGCCGTGGTGTTGGTGCAAAGTCTGCAGTCTGTGTGGTCAGGGTTATGCACACACTGAAGGAGCTGAACCGGCCTGTGATAAGACACAAAACCAAACAAATATTTAGTAACCACTTTGCAAGTACAACAGAGTAACTCCGCAGTTACTAAACGCAACGTGAGAGTCAAAGTGCATGTTACGTCTGTGCTTATCAAGCGGATGTCTTTTCTTAGGATTTTTTTTTTTAGATCTTGCTGCAGAAAGATAACTTCGGTGTTTACAGGGGCTAGGGACAGGAGCGAGTACAAAATAAAGTAGGGTGTGAACTCACAGCATGTCAGCTACGCTGCGATAACCAAAATAATTATGAAAAAGAAGTAAGACCTCTTGCACGGACTACGGAGTTGCTGCCATGCTGGAAGTTCACCATCTTGCTTACTCGGTGGCAACCCCTACTGCTACAGTGTGAAGCTGTTGCTAACAATGTCAGATATGATTAGATTTTTTTGCTAGAAGTACATCCAGTGTAACTATTTTTTGAGTTACTTCTGGAAGACACTGCTGACATGGACAAAAGCACGAGAAAATGATCAGCATCAATTGCTACGTGGCATGAAAAGCCAGATGCCCAGCTGACGCAGACCCACACGGTTCTGTTTGCAATGACTTCAGGGGAGTGAAGCGAATTTATATGGTCTATCCTAAGAGTTTTACTGCATGTGTAAATTGCTTATTTTATTATTGCTCTGTATATAAAATAGTAAACTTAATTGTCCGTGTTGCTCTCCATAGTTGCTTAGGTATGTTAGTTGAGCTCTGACAAAAAGCCCTACTTGTTATTCTATCTTAAGAAGTGAGTTGTGAGCCACGGCAACGAGTGTATCAACAACTCTTCATGATGTGTTACAGGTTTCTCCCTGCGCTGAGCCACAAGGGATCTAAGCTACCACATATTTCCCCTTCTCCCTGGCCCCCTAGCTTATTTCATCACAGGCTGAAACAATTTGTACCTACTTACAGGTCCTGGGAGTATTGGTTAAAGGCTGCATTTACCCAAAGAGAAAGGGAGTACACGAGCATCACGATTTGGCAGATTCATGCACCACACCAGGGTTAATTTCTTCACAATGTGCAGAGCACCCATTAATCAGGTTCAGCAATACCTAAACAGGAATATATTGCTCTGCCTTCAGAATTGAAGTCCTATCACCAGATAAGGTGTTTGTCTCCTTTGCAGACCAACTTTTCCTTATTTAAAACTAATGTCACGAACTCAGTAGTTTATAGAAATGTTTGTTTACTTTGGAAATGTTCTTATACAAGTATGAGTTCTTCACTCTGAAAAGCTGTTCCTGACAGATAAGATATGAGTAATATTGAACCTTTCCTGTTTTCTAATGTCACTAAAGAACATTTTTGCTCTGTGTGAAGGTCTCTGAACCCACACAGCGGGATATAGGGTCTCAGGCTTTTGTATCTCCTCAGCAGGCGGATAGAGATTTCGGGCAAGTCAGAACTTGGGCTGTTGTTTCCTGGACTCCTGTTTTTCTCTCCTGACAATGGTGAATTATAGCAATTAATAATGCTTAACATGTCTCATGCCTCACTCTCTGACAAAGTGGCTGGACAGAAAGTAAGCTCGAACTATAGCGAAGGAAGTAAGGACCATCCTTGACACACTGCGTTATCTACATGCAGCAGGGAGGAAAGCTGCCTATTTGGTTCTGATTGTTGTAGGTAAAAGCTTGGTCAGATGAAAATCTGTTGAAGGAGGCTGGATTGCTCATTCCCTGAAGGCAACTGAACATGCACAATGGCAAGCGCAGGGCAGAGAGCAAGCCCCAGACCCAGCCAACACGAGGTCTGCAGCACGAGTGGAAGCCCCTGAGAAGAAACAGCCACATCAAAGGGATGTGATGGCAGTAAGAGGGGAGTCTGCTCCAGCTTGCTGTAAATCTATATTAAGTCAAGAGGGAGATGCAATATTAGTTTTATGTTAGCCAGTTGTCACCAATAAGAGCAGATAATTACCTGTAATTGTCTTCACAAGTGATCTTAAAGTTTCGCTCTTCTAAGATGCTTTTTAACCTCTTTATGGAATGACCTGAGCAGGATTCACTGGAGAGAAAAGCCTTTTGTTACTTGTGTTCCTTGTGTGTACAAGAAGCTTAGCTAAATTCCACACCATGTCATTTTGCTTTATTTCAGGTTAAGATTCTTTAAAAGCTTGTTTGCTAATGTGCTGTTAAGTCCATTGGTTTGTGGATTTTTGGCTACCGTTCGGCCTTTGCTGGTAGAAACTATGTGATGTTCGGCTGGGCATCTTGCACAAGAACTTTGTGCAGGAAGATATCTGTGGGAAATACTCAGTTCCATTCACAGTTCAAGGTGCTCTAGAACTGCTCCAGAGCTGCTGGTGGCCTCCATCCACAGGAGCACGATATAAGGCTCATTCAAATCTGTGGAAGGACAAAGAACAAAGTCCTCTGTGTGATGAGACAGAGCCAATCATGAAAACCAGCAGCTAAGTCCCAGGTAGGACATAAGATAGGAGGAAGCAGATAAAAAACATGGGAGGAAGCAGGCTACGAGCACCTCCTTTCTGTTTGACTCAGTCTGTGGCTGCTGCTGCTGTTTTGACAAGGGGCTGTTTCAACCACTTTGCCATTGGTAGGAGCCCTAACTTGTGTATTTCTTTTCCATCCAGCTAATGGTTTCATGAAGCATGTAGCAATATCATATCCTTGAGTCCTTTATCTCTGCTTAATTTGCTTGAAACAGCCCAAGGGGCCCCAAAGCTGTGGTGAGAGGATTGACAAATGTCATAGACACAGACAGGGACACTGCAAAAGACTTGCTACCTTGGGATAAAAATCACCTCTTGGTCCAGAGTATAGGACACCCATCAGGGCAATAATACAATACTGGGGCAAATCCAGTTACTAACATATGGCATTTGTGGAAAGCAGAGCCAGCTCTTCTTTGTTCACTAGACTTGCCAGATGTTATCAGTGATTCAACATGGAACACAAATCAGAAGATAAAAGGAATACATATTATTTGAGCTACCCTTCCTCTTTCTCCTTGGAAGTAAGTAGAAAATGAAAAGGAAACTGCTGTGAACTTGGCGCAGGAGGAGGGTGTGTCCAGAAGGCTGGCAGGGCACCAGGTTGTTGAAGCTGTTGAGGAGGAACATGATGGCTTTTCTGATATTGGGAAAGGATCAAGTGCCATGTCTGGGGGAACCAATGTACAGATTATTCAATCTCATTTTCTTCAGCAAACCTCTATGCAAAGGGCCACAAAAGTATGTCCGGCATGCTGACCACAGGGTAGATGCATGCCTGTGAGCTGTGATAGTTATGTCAGCTTGTGTGGCAAAGAGACTCTTCTGGGTGTCTGGGCTAGGGGAGGGGTTGCAACACTGGAGCTGGTACTGTGTCAAACAGTGAGGCTGTCTGAGCAAGGGTCTCTGCTGGGTCCACACTCATTCCTGAGTTGCACTAAATCATCATGGCCTGCCTCCTGACCCACAGCATCAAAGCTGCTGCATCTGTCATGGGGGGTCCTTAGGAACAGGAGAAACCATGGCAGTGCATTATAACCACGTGAACCACAGAACCGGCTCTGAAAATAGGGGTCAAAGGCACTGAGCCTCACGCTCAGTGCTTGAAATGTGACAGATCTGCAAATGAATCTGATCAGGATGAAAAAGATCACTTAGAAAGGCTCAGATGTGATTTGAGGTCACTGTTCCAGTATCAGTAATTCCATGGTAAGCATTTAAACTATAGACTTGTTATTAAAAATCACAGAATCATTTAGGTTGGAAAGGGCTGCTTGAGATCATCTAGTCCAACCAATATCAGCTAGAGCAGGTTGCCCAGGACCCAGTCAGGTTTTGAGTATGTCCACAGCTGGAGACTCCACAACCTCTCTGGGAAACCTGTTCCAGCATTTGAAATTATTTTATCAAAAATGGTTCTGCTCAGCATAATTATACTATTCCTGTGGACAAACATATTTTCCAGCTGTTCACCATTGCAAACGTAGCCTGCCCTGTGACTTCAGTGCTGCACCCTTAATAAAGGTCTGTAGAGCTCCGTGGGGTTGGAAGGAATTTAAAGGTCATGGGAGCTCTTGAAAGCAAGGAAAATGTCAATGTGTCTTCGCTGTAACTGTTCAGCAGTACCTATGAAAAATACTAAAGATAACAACAGTACAAATGTTATTCTTTCCAGTAAAGTAAGCAGCTAGGAGAGTGAATGTAGAGCAAGTTTCGGGAGCAGGTTTAAGACAGTGTCACTGTTAGACAGTCACTCGTGAGAACCGAGCTGCGCCTCCTCCACACTGCTCATCGTTTCGTACTGGTGTGACTTACCTTTGAGGTCCACCAATGTCATGCATAAGCCATATGTGTACTGCAGAGACTTTATCTGGATTTAGGTTAAAGATCTCAATACTTCCAAAGATGCTGCAAGAATGGGACATGAAAAAGCAAAACATTCTGAGTTATCTGAGAATGATGTACAGAGTATGTTCCCCAAATGCTAGTGCTTATTAGTGCCGCTATTATTCTCAGTGAAGGAACATTGTCTTGCCAATGGATTTTCATAGACTATTTAATTGCCTTATGGTAAAATATTTTCTACCCATTCTTATTTCACTTTCAGGAGAACTTTTGAAACTGCGGACTGAAACAAGCTGAAGTTTTTCCACCTTTAGTGCCTTTTCTCCTGTTCAGTTTATTGGCTATTGATTTGATCTGGTGCAAGGGAAACGAACATGGCTATTCCCCCGACCAGCATACTCTCCATCTTTCAATATTATTCAAGACTGCACTTCCAGCCAGGTTACCCAAGGAAGCACAGTCTGGAGGGGTAAAATCCAGTCAGCTCCATGAACAGTTAGAAATGTGTCATTCATGTGTAACGAATAAATAAACTGTAATAATAAAGTTACTTTGTGCAGTAAGAGCATAGTGGAAACCCCACCCGTATACCCTCTGAAGGATTTCAATTACAGTCACTGTATAGAAGGAGTTAAGTGAATAGCTCTACAACAGCCAATGGTTTAGACCACTATATGAGTTTACCGAAATCCATTCTGCACTGGGTGTCACTGGCAAAGACACGTTCACCAGTGTGCAGGCCCCACAGAAACACGGATGGTAGCATGCTGAGCAAATACCTGCTGCTTCTGAAAGCTCCAGCTTCTACTGATCCATTGAGCATCACTTGAACCACACCACATGCTGCTTCTGCAAACTGAACAAAACAAATGGACATTGCACGCTGACACTACACGCAGTGCCACATCGGACTCGGGGCTAGTAGAAATTACTGTAACTTCTTTGATGTCATCATAACTGACTTATACAAGTAGAGGATCTGGCCAGTATTTTTGCAGAACATGCCAGTGCAAAAAAAAAGCCTCTAAAGGCTATGGCAAAACTGTGATAAAGGTGCATTAGCCAGCTATGAATTGGCAGTCTGAGGTTGCACGGGATTAGTATAGCAACTTTGCTGTCACTGCTGCTTTCAGTTTTTATAGGGCTTCCCAGAGCCCCAGCAGCTACAGCTGTCTGATGGGGCTGTAGTAACTTGGAATAATTCTCAGACTGCTTTAATTCAGACAGTGAAGATGAGCCAGAACAGAGGTAGAGTAGTTTAAGGACACGCAAACCATTGTGTGTTCGTTACCTTGTGACTCATGCTCTGTGTTCTTTTGTGGCTTGGGATTTTTCTCCCCAGCGGTTTTAGTAAAACTCATCACTGAGTTTTGTTTGATTTGATTTTTAAATTACTGGATCATGTAATCACTGCTCTGTTATTCTCTAAAACTTATGACCAAATATTTAAAGACTACTAAGGTTACAACATAAAGTACCCACTCCAGATATATAATCCATTGGTAAGACAAAGAATTTTTAAAAAGCTTAACAGAGGTGACTGTACTTATCAAATCTTCCAAGTCCTCTTACATCTAAACAATGTGGCTCAAACTCAGATCCCGAGAGCTATGAAGTTGCAAGAAATTTTCGTTATGTGTAACTTCTTAATGTAATAAGCATGAGTTTTAGTAGATCTTAAATTTATTTGGACTAGAAAGCCTGCAGTTGAGCAAGCCTGACTCTGTATGGTGGTTTATCCCTCCCAGACTCTGGAACTGAGGGGATTAATGAGAACATAGAAACTGTATTGAGCTTGGAAAACTTATGTACACTAGTTTACCCACAAAACATTTTTTTTTTTACGGTGAGTAGACTTCTTACGTACATGAGAGCTGAAGCGTACAGGAATGCTTGTTTTCCACCTGGGCAGTCATCTACTAATAGTCATACCAAGGGTGAAGTCTCAAGAGACATGTAAAATTAAACTGATACAGGAGAGCAGGTTTTTTTCTGGCAGTTTTTCTATAAAGTGCTGATTCAACAAAGCCAGGCTAACTGCTTAACTCAGACTAGCAGGGTCTCATTCATGTGATGAGAGCTGGCGTGTGCATACGGGTGGGTACATGGTAGGAACCTTGCCAGATACCGTTGTGGGAGGACGTGCTCTTCAGGTTTATGCCGGGAAGGTGCAAGGGGATTCTCAGCTGCTTGGAAAATTTCTGTGCCGATTTGGGCACTGCTCTCAACATTAACATGCTAAAATGTATTTTATTTTAGCAATTTCAGTCCTGTGATTTAATTAAGGTGGTGATTATTATTACTGTAAGTATTATTTGCAAAGCTCCAGCTGTCTGCCAAGTGTTGTTCTAGACACTGGCACACAGTACCTGTCCACAAATAAGAATGCCCAAACTACAGTGACATTAAACATTGTACATAAAATGCGGGCCTTGGAAATAAAAATTTCCAATGCCATGATTTTTAGGACCTGAAGCTAAAGCTCATGTGAACTTTTACTATTCCACGTTTTAAGTCCAGTCTGCAAACTCATATTTTTGGCTGTGTCAGGAACTTAGTGCCTTTCAACATTCTTGGATTCGGGGAGATTTATTCTAGATCTTACCATCTTGGATGCCATTTTCCAGAATACAGAGCTAGGGTTGCTCTCACATTCGCTTCGTTTTGGACAAGATTCATAGTTGATTCCTGAGAAGAAACACGTTTATAGAACAGCTACGGTTAGAATTAATATTATTGCACTGTTTATATGGCTTTGAGAGCTGATTAACAATGGCAAAAAGATTTGCCCCCTATCAAAGCAAGAAGGCTACATGAGGAAAGGGCTCTAAGGGGAAAAGGAACCTGCGTGTGTTCAAAGGTCTTCCCGTTTGCTCACACGCTTCAGGGAGGCAGCTGCAGGCCCTGTATGCAAATAATTCTCAGAAAACTGAGAAGGGAAAACATACAGTCCTAAATGTGAGAAACAGGTTGGCTCTTGACAAATACTGTCTGACTGCACTGAAAAATTAAACTTTGCCCAACATTTTCAGTAATTCCAGCCCAGTTTAGAGGTTGTTAGCCTTAAGCACCAGCCCAGGAGTCATGCGGGCAGCAATAACCCCAGGGTACCTACATGCTGCCCCCGACACTTTGACTGGCCGACGGACCTTTTTGAATGGCATTTTTGTTTTGCAATTTGTCCCACAGAAGTCACAGGAAGGAAGTGAGTAATCTAATAAAGAGGGCTAGATGTCACCATTAGTCCAAGCAGCAACTTGGTATTTTAAAAACAGCCAAAGTTGTGTTTTGTAAATTAACCTGAGAACTAAGTATTATTTTCAGTCTTCCATAACATGGGACAGAAATATAGTTAAGGTTTTAAACTAAATTACAAGAAAAGAATATGTGAAAAGGATTGTGCTTAGGTCTAGATATACAACAGAAAAGAATAATTTGGAATTCCAGTGTTCATATTTGTTTTGCAAAAAACAAGACTTATTACCTGGGGCAGAGGGGTCTCCACACCACGAAACCCTATCAGCCATATAACCCAACAAGGTGTCCTCCAAGGTAAGGAAATTTTGATTGGATTTTGTATAACGATGAGCGAGGTCACTTGTCTTGCTCCAAAACAGTGACTGTGAAATAAGGTACAATGTCTAATAAGTGATACTTATACTAGAGCTGGTCAGGAAATTTTCCTGGAGAAAACCAAAAAGTTTTCATGATAATGAAGGAGTTTTAGTTTGTATTGAAATGCTGCAAGTTCGCCTTGAGTCAGTTCTTATTTCTGCAGCCCACACTCCCATTTCCAAAATCCTTTTGGGTGGTTATTTTTTATGGAAATGGACGTGTTGAGCCTGTAAAGCATTTTGAAAGAAAGGTTTTGACTAGTTCTCATAGGATATATACCTAATTTGTTGTGTGCTTTTTAACTGCACATGGAAGAGCAGCTTTTTGGAAGCAGTGTCCCTCTAACAGCATGATAGCATGCTGCTTACAGAGAGCCGTATGCTCGGGGAACAGGGCTACTGCGGTAAGCGCAAGAGCAAAATATCCTCCTCGTCAACCTACAGAGCCTCAGAATCATTACGGACAAGATCCCATCACGCAGAGCGCTGCACAGACATCCCATCCCACAACAATCCTACTGAAGCAGCCCACCATGCATTGTACTGTTACCTTGTTACAGGGTATAGGATGACTCGCTAACTCCATTAAAGGCTGATAATCTTCTGATGTAATATTACAAGGATTCTTGTAAATGAACGCATGTTTTAATGATTCCCATATTTTTAGGCAATCCTTATCTCTGGCAAAAGATTAAAACATAGTTAATTAGTATTTATGAGTATTTGTGGCTGTGAAAGGATCTCCTTCTGTTATGGTCAAACACTATGGATCAGATTTTAAAAGAGTTCTAACTATGCTCAGGCACCAAAATACATTATCCATTACAAAAGCAGAGTATCTTCAGCAAATTAAGTATAAACTGAGGATTGAGCAGTTCTAAAACATCTTTCTTTCTCTCCTGCATTTTAAATTACTGATTATTGCAACATCTGAATGTCCTCTACGTTTTGTCCCTTAAAAAGAGCAGTTATGATATCACATAACCCGAAGATCAAATTTCTTGTTTATTCATGCCAAATCATGAGAAGCAAATGTGGCAGACTATATATAGCTTGTATATTTTAAAAGTATGGCTGAAGGATACTGCCTCCTCAGGTACAGTCAGCCAAAAATATGCCCATGTGTCTCCCTGCAGAGCGTTGGACCCTACAGAAATAACATCTATGATTTTACCTAAAACAAAAGACGGGGTCTGGCTGTTTTGGACCTGATACTATTTTCATTTATGCACTAATTTGCAGCTATTGACTTTGCTGGAGCCACAGCTGATTTGCACATGTATAACCAAGATCCAGATCAGATGCTTGGTCTCCAGTGGGTTTTTTCAGTCTCCTTCTGATCCTCCACCATATTACAGGTTCTGGCCCTTTTGCTCTCACTGGCATGAATCAGAGGAATTCCACTAAATTTACATGGGGGGAACTGCTTCATGCCACGACACAAACCTATCACCCCAGCCTACGCTTGTTTCTTAAGATGCTGCTTTGTCAGCCTAGGAAATAAAGCACCTCTCTGCTGACAGAAGCAGGGCTCCTTTCGTACTACCACGAGGAAATCTGTTGCCCAGTGCGGGCAAGCAACCCTATCTCTGTACTGAAGTACTGCCATGCTCCCTTCCTGAGGCTGCAGCATACAGTAACGTTTGGGACGGCTCATTTGCTTTCTTGTGCTTGAAGTAATGAATGAAAACTTTGCATTAAGATAATCATAACTATTGTCTGTCTAGTACGTGTTTTCAAGGCTGTGCCCCATGGGTGCTCTTCCCTTCCTCTTCGAGCTCCCATAGTTTCAGGCCCACGTGGAAAGCCTGCCCCTCTCCTTACAGCAGTGACAGTAATGCAGTGATTCTGCATCCTTCTCTTCCCTATTTTTATGTAAATTTAAAACGCTGACTGCATTATCCTGCTGTCTGCATGTCTGAATGGAGCTATTCTGACTGTCTTTGACTCATCCACTCTTTCTTCACTGTTTGCAATCATCTCCCAGTGTGTTCCCACTAAAAGCCGTTTGAAGAATGGACTTTTTCTTGCGTGAAGAAACTGGTGCCTTCAGAGCCCTACAAAAATAGCACTGATCAATCAGTATGTGACAGACACACAGCTGCAGGCTTTGGTACCAGTTGGTACTCAGGTAACATGTAGGATGTGGAATTTGTTTAGTCTTAAAAATAGTCCTAAAGGGATTAAGAAAAACAGTAGTAATTCATTGAAGATTCCCAAACATTTTCAAGTTAATCTTCCCTACAGTTGTGTGATCTCATTCCTACTACTGAACTTGATCACGATTTCTACTGAGTGCCCATTTGAGCATCAGAGGGGCAAACTGGAATGCAGAGAGTTGAGCTGTTTGTATTACATGGGCCACCTCTAAACTGCGGGACCCAGAACCACTTGGCAGCTCCTGGCCATTTCCTTGCTGTCTGGCCATGAACTCTCTTCCTTCCTTTCCTAAGCCTTACGGAAAATAAACATCACACAAAGAAGAGGACAGACTCTGTCTGTCTGCGTCCAGAAGAAAGTGACAGCAGCTGACAGCACTACGTCCCAGAGGGAATGCCTCTCTCAGACACACTACAGAGGGTTGGGCCAGTATCATTCCGGGAAGGACCAGGCAATCCACAGCAAGATGTCCCTGGCCTTCCTTCCCTTCTGCCTTTATTTATGCATCTAACTTAGCATTATATATGATATTGGTTACTGGGAGGCCATACCACCACAGTGGTTACTACAGCAGGTTTCCATGCTCCAGGTCCTCCTCTGTGAAGGGTCTGTGGTGGGTATGTCCTCGTCTCTCACTCCTGGGGCAGCCAAGTGCATTTCGCTGCAGGGCTCTATCTGGGCTGCAGCTATCCCGCAGCCTGACCTTGCTGATTTAAAACGAGCTTGCGTATTGCCACTGTACAGTGCTGTCTGAGGGGGCAGGGACAGGCAGGTCAGCCTGGAGGGTCTCTGGCCGTACGGCCGACTGGGGCAGTTCTGGCCACATGCCGAATTTCATTTCTTACCGTGCCAGTCTGTTACAGGGGCAGCTAGGGACCCTGTGCTAGGGACCACACCTCTTGTTTATATAAACCAAATTTACCTCCAGGTAAGTAAAGACTAATAATAATGATGTTTTTTTTACTGGGCTATTGTCTTTTATCCAGGAGCCTACATGCACTTTCAGTTACGGTCACTATAGGAATAAGAAGCCAAACTGCAGATATTCTAGGGCGCACAGTCATTGCTTTGCTGTTGCACTGTCATGTCAGGGAGTATTCACAGGTTTTACTTAGCAGAATTTAACTAGGGTGTATTAAATTTTCTCCTGGAGGAGCCTGTCTCTGGCTGCAAACTGAGACCATCCTCCCAACTTTGGTACTTCATTTAGGGGTTGGGAAGTTGTAAATACCTCTCCCTGCCTTACAGGATTACAACGTGACCACAGCGAATCAGCCAACAGAGAGGGCTCCTGCTGATTAAGGGGTGACATTACAGAGGAGGCAGCTGTCCCCTTTGCTTTGCACAGTCAACTGTCTCATAAAGAGAATTTGTAGGGCATGGCTGTAAGCACCGGTACGTCTCACAGACATTTACACGGCTCACACTTTCTAATCTGTCAAATGACTTGTCCTCCTGGCAGGGCTCTTCTCCTTTTTTTTTAAGCTACTCCTGAAATCTGTTGTATGTAACAGTGTTAACAGCCACAGGTAACAGCTGGTTACCTGGTCATTTATGCTTTCACATTGCAAAGTTTTTAAGCTTGGTCTCAGAAGACAAAATATTTTTCAAGGAATCATAAGAAAAAACTGGTTTTTTATTTCCAAAGCAGAGAGGTAAGTGATAGACACAGTACAAACCATTTCTGCTGCTGGACTCAAGTCACGGCCATGAGAAGCATGAAGCAACAACTACCCAGGTGATTCACGATCCTGCCGAGACAGCTTGCTGAGTCACAAATTCAAAGTATCAGTTTTCTAGCATTTCAAAACACCAAGCTCAGCACTTGATGTTGTGCATGGATGTCACTCATATCTGAGAGAAGAGTCTTTATCCACAGTCCTGGCAGAGCTGAGCAAAGTTATATGTTTAATGTCATAGAAGTGGTAGGGCTTAGCCTTCAAATGGGGGAAGCTCTTCTACAGCCAGTGGAACTTTGCGTTGTACCACACAGAATGATAAGACATGAAGATGGGCTTTTATAGAAACTAGGCAATTTCAGCATTGTTTTAGAAATCAAAATACAGATCTTCAATGTGAAAAAATACATACGAAAGCTAAACGATATTTCATTTTTGCTATCCTCACCTATCAACATGTATATTTTTACAACCCAATAAAAATAATTGATTTGCCATTGGAAAGCTATTTCTCTGATATGAAATACAGGTTTTCGCTCCCATCTCAAAGAGATTACCAGTCACATAGAACTGCGATTTTGGTTGATATATGAAAAAATAAGTAGTGAGAAGACTTTAGGCTCCAGGAAGACATGTCAGTCTTTCCAGGCTCACTGTTGAGGTAGGCACTATCAATAAAGTTTCACCTGTCCCTTTTTCCAGCACAGCAAGACACATTTGTCTGGTGTGCAGCATTTAACTCACACTAAGCAGAAGTAAGGGCAGAGACCTGCTGTAGCTCTGGGCCTCCTGAAAACAAGATGAGAAGTTTGCTGGCACTTGGTATGCTAAAAATTCCAGCAAGAACAGTTTCAGGTTGAAACAAGCACATCTGCCTTGCCAAAAAATGCCTGAGAAACCTGTCCTCTTAAGGCTGCTCCCAACTTCTCATTGCGAAGTTCTCAGTCACAGAATGGGCTCATTTCGTTTTCTTCCTTGGTTTACAAAAGAAAGGAAGGGTGTGAAAGAGAGCACCAGCTACCAGTTAATTAAATTTATCTAATTCAGATACGGGAGTCCATGGTGAATATACTTAAGTACCTGTGGGGCTGTGGGGCTCGTGTGCTCTCCTTCTCTGGTTTTTGTTTGTATATTTTGGGTTGCATATTAATTCTGCGTCGTATCTGCAAACATCATATCTTTATGCATAATGGATTTCTTCCTTTGAGGCTAACTTTGTTTATCCTGAAATATTTAAGGTCTTTTATTCTACTACAGAATCTGAAATATTTAATCCAAATTCAGTGACGTGTAAAATAAATATACTCTGATTTCCTGTTTAATTTTTTCAAACTTTTTTTTATGAATAGAGTTTGGGAAATGCTGGTAAATGTGAAATAATCACTAACAGACTTAGAAGGACACCGTGAAACCTGCTGTAAACTCAAGAACTGAACCTGCAAGTCTTTCTCTGGAAAGTGAGGATTGCAGAACTTGCCTTATGACCTTTTGGAGACAGAGACTATACCCTGCACTCAGTATAGCATCGAATAAGGACTGGGAAACAAATAACCATTAAAACTACATTTCCTTATTAAATCCAAATGTTATATATACTGCAAAGCATATCCTGCATTTGTCCTTATGTTTGGGTAGAAGTTGCATTTTCCAAAGAATTTGAGTATTTCTATCCATTTACTTTTTTTATGAATATCACATTAATCTATCAAACGGAAGCTGGGGCCAAGAATATTTCCATTAGCAGCTATCCTAGCAGCCAAACTTTAATGTGCATATTAGAAAAATGGACAGCTTCTGCATCATTCTCTCTCGCATATCAGTATGCTGGTCTGGCTAACCTTGAAAGAGTATCCTTTCACTTAAAGGAGTGGGATGGCATTGAGCTACCTGGGAAATCACTATTAATATAGTTTTTTTTTTTTTACTTTGTAATTTTATTTTTTTTCTTTAACTGGACATGACGGAGCAAATTCATACCCAGTTGAAATCTATTTAATTAGTATAATATCAAGGATAAGTTTCATCCCTCCTGATTTCAGTTACACCATGAACAATGTCTTGCTTTCAGTTCAGCACTGGACTGACACTGGATGCTAAAAACATCTTCAGAAAGGCAGTGTCTCCTTGGGCTGTGTTTCCTCTATTTTTTTACTCAAAAATTTGAGAGAGACACTTCAAGTATGGGACCCATTTTAAATTTACAAGTGAAAAATGACTTCCAGGCTTTGTTCTGGAGAACTCCATCAACTCTGCCCATATTGTTCAAATCACTCTACCAGGCAGAGACACTTCCCTGGTGAGACATGGTCTCCCCTGCAATCAATAGCAGCTTTTCCAAGGTCCGGAGTTTTCTTTCTAAAAGATGCCAATGCCTTCAGGCCACACTGAGATTTTAGTTGTGGCTCTGTGGTGAGGCTCTGAAGTTAGAGCTGGAAACAGTCCCCTGAGCCCTTTATGTAACTGGCCTTGGCAGGGATCAAACCTCACCAGCAGCTGCAATTTGTATATGAAAATCCTTCTCATTTGCTACCACCGTTAGCCAAAACAGTAATGCACCTAAGCACTCAGAAATCTGGCTCTTTAAAAAGTCAGTGAGAACTTTGTGGTTATAACAAAGCTCCTTAAAGGCATGAGACCAATTCACACTCTGATGGGAGTCTAAGGCATCGTCTCCACCTGTAAAAGCCCAGGCGCCTCAGGAGAATGCATATCAAAGGATCTAAATGGTGTAGCAGTATTTCTGTAGCTAACAGACCCATCTTTGCCTGTGTGTCAGTTTATCTATCTGCCTCTTTTAGGTAAACCATGATGGCCGTAGACAGCGGTGCAATTTATACATCCACATTCAATTTATTTTTTCATGTGAGCTTATGAGTAGCTATGTCTTTATGTTGTCAAAAATTGTACAATATGAACAATAACCCTTATGTCTGTGTTGAGAGGAAGCTCTCTGTAACCCAGAATCCTTTTGCTACCTTTTTTGCCTTAAATATTTCTGGTTTTTCTTCCGCTGTCCCCTCCCTTCTTCCAGCCTTGCCTTCCAGTGTCTCACTGCTGCTTTGGAGAAGCTTTTGCGGAGCCGCTGCCAAGGCCGGCCCAGGCAGCTGCGCTTGGACTTCTCTGCAGGCAGCTTGGGCGGCGGGCGCGGGGAGCGGAACGCGAGGAGAACACTGCCATCAGGCGGGAGAAGGGACTTTTCGGGAGCAGCAGCTGAGGTCCACCTCAGGGGTGCCGTTCTTCGTGCCGGGTGACGGCCCGACCCACCTCCAGACCGCTGAGTCGGAAAATGGGTTCGTGCGTACAACGGATGGATCGGCTTCGTTCCTATTATTCTAGTACCTAAAATCTCCCATCAGGTATCTTTGTGCTAAAAATCAGACAAATGCGAATTAAGAGAGGTCAGCCAATATGCTGTCATCGCTGAGGATTTGAGGAGATTACTGTCTGCTGCTTTTAGCATTAGGATAATAGAGCGGGGAAAAATTACCAGGGGAAAGGATGAAGGAAAAAATCATGGAAGAGCTGTCAATCTCAATGTCTTCAATGAGCACTAGCCTCTCACTACCCACTTAGTTTAATTATTGCAAAGTGTCTGCCACCGTAACTTTTATGGTAACTGACTTTTTTTCAATATGAGAATGACATACTTGATTTTTTTGGCAGCTTGATTTTGTAAGTATTGCTCTCTGATAATTAAGTAGTTCAAAAGCCAGTAAAGAAAGCGTTGGAGGACCTGACTGGGGATAGAGACAGAGATCCAAATACCTGCCTCAGAGAAAGATGACTTCTGGAAAGGTTGCCCGTAGGCAGAGCCATTAAATTCCCCACAGCAGAGGTGGGGAGTCTGGAGGTCTGGAAAAAGAAGTACAAGGTGAGTTTTCCACTGGGTGCACCTCAGGGCTGTGTATGTTCCTGTATGAGGAATGACCTGGAACAAACAATGGCTCCTTGTCACGCTGGTCCTTCACCTTTGGCAGGAATGAGCAGGTTTTAAGGGCAGGTGTACTTGTGGCTTTGGTTTATAGCTCCTAGAGTATTTTATGTGAGTTGGGAATCGGTGCTCCAGGACAGCACGAAGCCTTATCGCCCTTCTGGGAAGAGTTGAGCCAAAAGGTGGCAGCTATAAACCAGTGAAGAGTTCATCTAC